ATCAGCTGATTTATCATGTGACAGAGAAGCAGAGAGGAAGAGTGAATGCTGAACTCACTGGATGGGTTTTCCTCTGATCTCGGCCATGATGGCGCTCTCGCCGCCCAGATACTCGTAACACAAACTCAAGAAGTTATAGATGACAAACGCTGCAGAAACACACATAAATCATCATCATCAGAACCACTGAAATCGACTTCATATCACAATGCTTGCTCCTACACAGCAAACAGAGAACTAAAGAACTACAGATCTCAGAAGGAACCCGGCTTTTGACTGTAACTGGATGACGACTACTGACTCATTTGGGTCTGTTATTTGAATATTAGTAGAAACATCTGAGACAAAGCTCATAACTTAACCAAACGTGACCGAAATCTCACCATCATGTTCCTCACTGTGATTCATCACCACACCACCTGATAATATTTCTACATGCCTTACTAACATTTACAATAAATCACTGTTTCGACTGGAATTATCGTGCAATATTAATCATCTAAGATAATATCGTAATCGTTTTTTTTAACGAAAAGCGAGCTGACATTATTGAGTATGCCACTCACTTTGCCAAAAAAAAACAAAAACACATTTTGTGAATCCAAAAGCATTGACTGCGTGATGAAACCTATTATAATATAGTTAGAATGCCCCTATAATTCAAGTCATGAAAGCAAAAAAATACCCCTGTATGGGTTTTTGTTTTATTTAAAGATGTTTTGTTCCTGAATGACTCTGTTTTTGAATGAATCATTTGAGTCAATGATTCAATCATCCATTCATAATGACGGTCCCTTGCTTCGTTTCTAAATGAATCAGCCGTTCTGAATGAATTGTGTGAATGAATGATTCAATGAATCACTCATTAAGACAGGGACTTGCTGCCACCTACTGGTGGTTTTAGTCACATATTTATTTATCCATGATAGGCCTAAACCAGCCAGACTTAAGATGATTAAAAAAAGCGCTAATGTTGCAAAAGTCATCGATTATGAAACTATAGGGCTTTTCACACTTGAAATGGTATAAATGTATAAATTAAACACATAATATAATACATAATGAAATATTATTACATTAATTAAAATATAATTTATTTAGAGTAATTAATTAAACGCAGTACTTAAACCACATTAGAAATTAAAACATTACATTTCTAACTGTAAATAGTGGAGATGCACGTCTGACCTTCGTAGCAGTCGCGGACGGTGTTGAAGTAGATACTCCTCGTTAGTGAAGAACAGCAGACTGAGCCACGAGTCGAAGGCGTAGATCGGCATGATGAAGAGGATGCGAACGATGTGCCGCTGCTCGTTAGGAGTGTTATAGTAGCGCAAGTGCATGTAGATCTGAGACACACAGACAGACAGACATGATTATTTGATATTAATGTGTACTTTTAGATTTATTATCATGCCTAGTACATGTCAACTAACTAATTAACAAAGAAAGCTACAAGGCACTACAACCCGAGCTGAAAATGCACAGTGCGTAGCAGTCGCGGACGGTGTTGAAGTAGACGTAATACTCCTCGTTAGTGAAGAACAGCAGACTGAGCCACGAGTCGAAGGCGTAGATCGGCACGATGAAGAGGATGCGGACGATGTGCCGCTGCTCGTTAGGAGTGTTATAGTAGCGCAAGTGCATGTAGATCTGAGACACACAGACAGACAGACATGATTATTTGATATTAATGTGTACTTTTAGATTTATTATCATGCCTAGTACATGTCAACTAACTAATTAACAAAGAAAGCTACAAGGCACTACAACCCGAGCTGAAAATGCACAGTGTTTGTTACATGTGATCCACATGTTAATCCCACATGTGCTCTATTATGTTGTCTACATGTGATCACATGAGGAAAACATGTGAAATTCATGTGGTTCTTCTGTAAGGGTACTCTTATTTGGCCGTTTATTATTCGAATTAATATGCATGCATTAATATATGGATGCTGTACTGTAAATAATACAATCATGGCAATAATTTAAACACGTAAACGGAGCAGAAACAGAACTTCCTGTTTAAGTGAGAAGTTTCTGTGTATGTAAAGTCAAACACATGTGAATAAAAGCATGTCTCTGTATGTGTGTGTGTCAGTGGAGCAGGTGGCTCTTCTGTCACCACAGCTTTCCGTGTGTGTTTGTGTGTGTTTTACAGGTTCATATAAGCTGCACTATCACAACACACGCACACAGACACCGTGTCTGCACCAGATGCGAGCGGCGCTGTGCGACGTGACAAAATACAATAGAACCCATTATTATCAGTGATGCTGTCTACACTGGATGCGACGCGACAGTAAACTGCCTCGTTCTATGACGTACTGACAGAAAGTTCAAATGATTTGCAACGGTTGCTTGTCTCATCCAGTGTGGACAGACTTTAGCTGTAGCGCGCAATGACTGTCGCATCCGGGGTTGACATGGCGATAGTTCTGAATGCTGTTGCTATGCAACAACCTCTGCTCTCTGATGTCATGCCACCTGTTGCCACAGCAACTGCTCATCAACCTCTTTCAATACGTGTCAGCTGAACCTCTATGATACCACAGATATATTATGTAATTTGAACCTTACAATAAATATCATAATATACAAATATGGCATTTTCAGAAGTTTGAATTTGAAAACTGCCTTGTGTAATTTACATGTTTGCATTACAAAATGTGAGTGTTGATTATTATGTCTAAAAATAAATAGCAATTTAATTTAATAGTTGGGCTATTGTAACCTTTGATATGATAGTAATGTGCGAGTAATAGGGCTCACAATAGTTTCCAGCATTAGCGGAGATTTTTTGTCCTAAAATTTTAATATAATAAACAGAAAACAATCATGTAATAAATGATACATATTAATATTTACAGTAATATTAACATTATATTTTTCACATTTATACATCAATAAAATATTTGTTTTATATAAACAAAAGAGAATACATACTTTGACCATATGAAACATGATTAAATATGTAATAATATATAACTGCTTAAAGGGTATAAGCTTGCAGATTTTCAACCAGCCAAAGTCTGTATTACTTATAAATATATAAATAAACGTGTTACCTGCCCCAAGATATTCACGTTAATTTATCAGCTAAAGTAATCAGCGGTCGTCTTTTGTGAAAACTACAGATCGTACTTCCGCATTTCTGTATCTCCACTCACAGAAAGCCGGGTTGAGCACAATGCATTATGGGAGTTGAAGTCTCCCTAGTTTTAATTTGGCAAAATGGCCAGCAGTGCATTACAGCTTTATTATATAATTGTGTATTTTCACAATGCAATAAATCCAGTATGTAAACTCTGCTTTAAGGTGGAGTCTAGAAGTTCCTCTGGGTTCAGTGTAAGGAACACGTTCATGAATATAAACATATGTGTGGTACCTGTTGGCAGGTGAGCAGCAGAGCCGTCCAAGTGAAGATCCCAGAGATGGTCTGAGTGGCGGGGGTCATGAGGAAGATGGGCGTCTCCGGGGCGACCACCAGGGTCTCCCACGACCTGTTGTGACCCTCAGGGGTCACCGTAACAACCCCGGGCCCCATGCCAACCAGAGAGTCACTCCCTGAACGCCCTGATAGTGACAAGCCCCTCCTACACAGTAGAGCCATCTGCAGACGAAAGCCAATCAGAACGCTGCAAACACACCAGTGGGAGGAGCAAATACTAGTCATAACAAACCATTTAATACAGGTTTTTCACTTGTGAAATGTGATGTACGGTGTGTTCCTAAAACACGTACCTAAAGCCTTATGATACAAAACAAAAACAAACGATTTTGTGAAATCTATAGATTTTACACACGATACTGTAATAATTGATGTATACAAGAATAAGCTCTAGATCTTCCCCCAGCAGCATCAGTGGCACCATCTGAACCGTATGCATGTGATTCACGACTCTCTTCCAGGAAGTGGATGGTCTCAGTGTTGCCATGCCAACCTGGTCCTCTGGAGACCGCAGCATCACAACAGGCTGACCAACACACTGACAGCATCTGAGCTTATGAACATCTCAAAACATCACACATGCTAGCAGCTCTAATGGTAGTAAATTACACTATTTTAAGAGAACTATCCCTTTAAATCCACACAGTCGGGGTTAATGACATGCACTAATGGTCAATGTTATCAAAACAGCAGCGTCTAAATGCTGGACTAAAGTATTATCATCACACACTTACAAAAACATATACTAATACTGTGGCACGCAAAGATATTTACAAAGTACTGTGGTATTATTACAAGTAACAAAAACGTGGTATAAGCAGCACACCATTTAAAAACAGGGTGATATCAGAGAACATCTCCATCTTTGCATCTTCTTAAATCGCAGGATGAGAATCATCACATTTATTAACATGCAATGCTCGGGCCGCCATCTATCTGTTCACGAGTCACAAACTAATCATCAGATGTTTGTGGTTTTATAAAAATCTCCAGATCTGAACAGTCCATCGAGGAAATCTGCAATGCAAACACAGCGACTCTTTATCGACACAAGCATTAATTTATTCGATCATTTCGGCGGATGATGATGCGTCGCGTGCGATGCGCTGATGCTGAGGTTTCTCCAGCTGATCTTGACTTCAAACAGATCTCCTGAACATGCACAATAAAATAAAGAACACAGTCGCACTCACGTTAATCAGTGGGTCCCGCTCATCTCTCAGCTCGCTGTGTTCCGCGATGCGAGCGAGCTTCCATTCTCGGTGACGCCACCAAGCCCGCAGAACGCGACACTTCATAAAACATTCATTAATAAGCCATTAGCACGCATTAAATAACGCTAAACTGATCCGCAGCTCCTGCAAATATGAATACGGTAGCAGTCTGGAGGACGCACCTGTCTGACTGTTCGGTTAAACGATTGCAATTAAAATAATAATTAACAGCAAACTGTATGATTCTATTATCGTGACACTTGGACACATTCACTTCTGATAACAGATCGAACTTGTAATGTAGATGCATTTCCTGTAAAGCTGCTTTGTGTGTAGGCTCATGTGAAAAGCGCTAATGAACCTGAATTGAAATAACGTTTGCAGACAGTGTGCCACTGTATGAATGTTTAACAAAAATATAACAAAACGGAACTTGCACTTTTAAAAGCGCACAAGTTGTACCAGATAGTGAAGTAAAAGCATGATTTTTTAAACACATCCACGCATCACAGCATAAACTGAAAACGAAACTAGCTGCAGGTCTCGCCGCAAAACAAACGACTAAATTCAGCCGAGAAACATTATACGTGTTTATTTAATGTTTACATTTACTCACTCAATACCAGCACACGTCTGGTTCATGTTTCAGCGTCTCCAAACTATCCTGTTTAATCCGGAATTAAGATATTACATAATAAAAATGAACATTTTGAATTTCGGTAAAGCTGCTTTGAAACAATGTGCAAATATAATATAGCCTACACAATTGAGTGCAAGTCCTGGAATCTAAACAAAGAAACTCAAGCATAAATATAGCCTAAAGATTCCCAGACTTAAGCTTGTTTATCACTTTACCATTATATATAACTCATGTATTAGTGATATATATATATATATGACTCATACAAGACACACATCAAACTCCACATTTATAGCCTAACTAATGTGCATCAACTAGTGTAATGTAATTGTTTGATTTATTGATCTTTACTATAAGAGCTACCTAAGAAATAAAGATCATCTGTAATTGCATACAGCAAAACATTCACAATTAAAAGGTAAGACGACTTCGATTAAATATACACAGCTGAACCTGCTAACTTACCTTTCACACGGACAGGTTAGCAGCTGAGCTGAGAGAATAATAATAATCATAATCATAATAATAATAATAATCATACAAACTTATACTATACATGGAAAAAAAATGCAAATCTATTTCAATGTGCATTCAGTAGCATCTAATGATTAATGATACTGGAAATACAATTAAATAAAAAATTAAAGACCATCTGGAATTACAAATCAAAACATCTACATAATCAAAAGGACATTTCAAATCAAATCTACGAGTGAAACCGCTGATCTGTATACATTTCTATGAATGATCAGAGTCAAAGAAACCCAGTTGACTTGTACCTCTAAACACACTGATAGTTCCCTTTCATGGGAACTTCGAACTGCGTCCTCTAGGGGTCGCTATGGGAAACCTAGAGGACGCAGTGTCTCGTTCCCTACTCAGGGAACCATGGTTACATAAGTAACCTGAGACGTTCCCTTTCATGGGAACTTCGAACTGCGTCCTCTAGGTTTCCCATAGTGACCCCTAGAGGACGCAGTGTCTCGTTCCCTACTCAGGGAACCATGGTTACATAAGTAACCTGAGACGTTCCCTTTCATGGGAACTTCGAACTGCGTCCTCTAGGGGTCGCTATGGGAAACCTAGAGGACGCAGTGTCTCGTTCCCTACTCAGGGAACCATGGTTACATAAGTAACCTGAGACGTTTTACAGCCGAGACACAATCTGTTTACGGTTATTAACACGTATGACAAAAAACAACCACAGATCTGATGCTTCGGTCTTCAGAGCAGCTGCATGTCACTTTTATTTAAATGAACTCTTCACTTCTTTTTTTTCTTCTCTGTAAAATCTCAAAAATCAAAACACTAAAAGGAGTGTTAGTCTTGATTTAAAACACAAACAACAGTGCAGACGCATAAAAACATACATCTTTCAGCTGTTTGTAAACTCTGGACAGTCACGCGCTCGTGTCTTAGAAATGCTTGTAGAATCATTATTGCAGTTCAGCCGATACAAAAGGCTACACGAGTACGCTTAAAAAACACGAGAAACGCCAATCGCAGAAACCCGATAATGCCAATGTTCGTAAAACACACCCAGCAGTGTATAGTGCACAATCAACAATGCACAGCTGCACACAAACACAGAGCAAAAACAGTCAAGTGCATACATACACACGGTATAGACGTCCCTCCGCTCACTTGAAAGTCTTTGAAGATAACTTGTATAGCCTTAGCAAAAAAATTAAAACAATGTACGAATCTATAAATGTAACAGCAAACCTGACGAACAGATCAAGGGAACAGTGGAAGGTCTGAATGAGAGAATCCACAGGCAAGGAACGGACCTGCGTGAACCTCCCAAAACACAGCTTTTTCAGTCCGGAATCACAACAAAATAATGAAAATAGCTCGTTTTAAGGACAGTTACAATTCTTTGCATTGCCACGCTCGTTTTGCAATCAACATTTTCCTCCAAGTTCTCATTACTAGCTATCATGCCGAAAATGGCATTGTTTTAAAACGTAAAGCCTTTCTTTATCATGATACTAGTTTGTTTTAATTACAAGCTAATTGCGTTACAGTATTTCACTGTAGCGTAGTAAATATTACTGTTATGGCAATGAGAATTAGAAAACGTCTAGCATTACAATACTGAGATCGAGTGAGTAAATGTGCTCAGCCATCCTTAAAACAATCACCAAAAAAAAAAAAAACTGGTCCTAAAAATAGGCTCGATTCTGGAGTGAAATGAGACCTAGGTGTGTTTTTTTAGTTTCACGCATCTACCAGCTTCGAATGCTGTTGCTCTCTAATTAAATCAATAAATCTGCTGTCAAAGAGTCAAACAGTGCCTGCATAACATCAAACTGAAATCAGTCGTTCAAGTTGAGCAGTGTGTGTGTGTGTGTGTGTGTGTGAGAGAGAGAGTGTGTGTGGGAAAGAAGGCCTTTAGGAACAGTCCCTGTATTCAAATACATGATAGCTTAACTCTGGCAATGATGAGAATGTCTGTAAGCAAATCCATGACACTCACACTGCACCTGTGTGTTTAATATCTCACTGGATAGATACAAAAGCTTGTCGACGTGTCCAGTGTTTGTGTGGAAATGTAGCTCTCTGAATGCGAGTGTTTGTTCAAAGTGTGTGTGTGTGTGTGTGTGTGTGTGTGTGTGTGTGTGTCTGTCTTAAAGCTGCAGTGTGTCACCAGAAACAACTGCAAAAATAATGAAAACATACAGAGGCCACACATTACGCTTTTTTGGTGACTTATTTTTCATTCAATAAATAAAAATACACCTCCAGAATACGTTTAATTTTACATATAGACATGTAATTTACCGGTATATATATTTTTTGCATTGTGATATTTTCATGACAATTCCGCTAGCATTTATTCATCACAGTAATATTTGTTGTACAACCTTTATATATAAATAAAAACTATATATACACATACAGTAGTCAACATTTGAAGTGGATCAAAACCTTTCATGAAAGTTGTCCTAAAACCAAAATGCGTTCTTGTCTTAGGACAACTTTATTGAACATTTTTGATCCACTTCAAATGTTGACAACTGTGTATATATATATATATATATATATGTGTGTGTGTGTGTGTGTATATATATATATGTGCATTAATGCATTACAGTAATTTGAATTAGCTGGGAACTGTCATTAAAAATAATGTCACAACGCCAATTTCTTAATGGCCCTAAAATAAACTTATGCACAGTATAAATTCTTTTTCCTTGGAAGTTTAGGGTAAAAAAAAATAAAAAATAAATGTTTTCATGAGATACACCCTTGTCTTGTGAAAACTACACTGAAATATTATAATAATGCATGGGCTTCCACATGTTTGGAAACAATCATTACATTGCAGTTTGACACACTTTAAACTCCACGTACCAGTATCTCAATAACTGACTGCTGTCAATCACAAACTGTCTGTCCCGCCTCCAAGCAGGTTGCCTGGCAACAACCCAGCTGTGCCGTCCTCTAACTGAGGACCGCCCCATAGGCTGCTGCCGTGGTAACCGAGAGCCACGCCTCCCCAGACCCCTTTCCCCGCCCCCTCCCCTGCGCTGTTGCTCCATTGGCTGAGGAGGGCGAGTCCCGGCGCTTCCACCGCCGCATCTCTGTCCACTCCGGTGCCCACGGGACGCTCGGCCTCTCGCGGGGCAGGGTCAGAGCCGGGCGAGCCCTCGGGTGACCCTGCGGCCTGGGAATGTGTGAAGTAATGGACGACGTCCTCCTCACTCATAAACTCGGCCAGGATGGTGGTGTTTCCCAGAACGCACCTGAACATGAAAACACTTCAGATCACTAAAAAAGTAAATAAAACTTACTAGAAAGTTCTTGCATTCATGTTTGAGATGTATTCAATTTATTAACATGTTAACACTTCCGGGGTGTTGATGTGACCTGCGTTGTGAACTCAATCAGGAATGTTTTGCATCAACCAGCCATTTAACAGCAGTAAATATATTTAAAACAGGTCAAACAGTTATTGATTTTGACATTAATACAGTATCAGTACGTGGACAACTCTAAATATGATGACTGATTGATCTGTACATCTATGCAAATAAAATATCTGAAATATTGAAACATCTAAATATTGTATATGAATAAAAAGAAAATATCATTGTATTAAGTTTTTATACAATTATGTAATTATATAGTATAATATTATACATAAAGCATAACTTAAATATTTAAATTCTATATAAATAAAATTAAACCAATAAATAAACACTGTAAATTTTGTAATTGTATAGCCTAGTATTATAATTATACATAAAGTATAACTTAAATGATTAAGTTCTACTAGGGGTTATTATAGTTAACTAAAACAAAAACTATAACCATTTTCTTGGAATAAATGTAAATTAAAAAAAAAACTTGATAAACAAATGAATAACTATATAGACATTTAAAAACAGCAAGTACAAAAAATGACAAAAAAACAACAACAAAAATACTAAAACGTAAATAATAAAAAATAACTCAAATAACTAAAATGAACAAAAGCAGAAAATGAAAATAAAACCTAATTTACAATATTAACAAAAACTATAATAGTGTCTGTGTGGGTAACCATGGCACCTAACGTTTTTGCTGCAGTTTATTTCTGCTACAAAAGAAGTGATATCGCCATCTACAGGGCACTGAAGGTACTATATCTTGTGTGTTTCTGCCTTTACTCACCCAAACTTATCAGCGAGGCTACTGAACGTGAGCACATTAGCGGGTAGTTGTGAATCGCAGGTGTTTTTATATATGAGCACATCTACTGCAAGAAGGCTTTCACTACTTAATTTTACTTAATATGTGACCCTGCAGCACAAAAGCAGTCTTAAGTCACTGGGGTATATCTGTAGCAATAGCCAAAAAAACATTGTATGGGTCAAAATTGTATTTTTGGCTATTGCTACAAATATACCCCAGCGATTTAAGACTGGTTTTGTGGTCCAGGGTTGCATATAATCAGTAAACACATATTTGTGTTAGTGTGACTCACATGTGCAGGGCGCTCTGGGCTTTGGCGGCTTCATGAGGGCTGCAGTAGCGAATCAGAGCACTGCCCTGCGTCAGGCCGAGGTGAAAGGTCAGAAGAGGGCCGTGCTGCAGACAGATCGTCTTTAGGGTCGAGCCGTCGATCTGCACACAAACCACAGGAAAACACAAAAATCAAATGCTTTGCTGTACTAAATATCCTGACAAATACAGTAAAACCACTTAAAACCGACATGCAAGTAGCAGCAAATACTTCAGGTACACACCATCGCTGCATTTATTTGATCAAAAATAGTTTAAAAACTGCCAAAATTGAACTATTATTACTATTTAAAATGAGTTTTCTATGTGAATATATTGTAAAATGTAATTTATTCCTGTGATCAAAACTGAATTAAATTGTAATACTATTTCATAATATTACTGTTTTTATCATATTTTTGATCAAATAAATGCAGTGAGCAGAATACTTTTTAAAAACATTAAAATCTTTGAACAGTAGTATGTGTTTGCGTTTATATATGTGTGTGTGTGTTTGTGTGTGTGTGTATATAGTATATATATAAATATATATATATAAATATATATAAATATATAAATATATATAAATATATATATGTGTGTGTGTGTGTGTGTTTGTACACACCTGCGGCGTGAGGTTTCTCAGTAACAGCCATGATTTTCCCGCTGCAGCTCCTCCATCGCTCCACTCTGAAGAACACGGGACATGAACAGGCTGCTCTTCACATACGTCTGTGTGAATGTGTGCTTGCAGTACCTGATTTAAAGGGTGGCTCTGGGCCGCTGGCTCCGCCCCCCCACGCCCTGGGCATCCAAGGCCCCTCCCCCACCCACAGCTGCTTCTGACTGGAGAGACCCGGAGGGGGGCGGGACAGGTGAGAAGTGCTGCGATTGGTCCGCCATGATTTGCCGTGTCCGATGGGCTCCGGCGGCCAACTGGACTTCAGCTCGGAGTATTTCGCTGGAAACGGCACGAGGAGATGCGAAATCCTACCAACATGCTAAATACAGTTTAAATGAAAATGTGCAAAGGTTTTTAAGCCACCGTTACCTGTGCCATGTGCAGCGAGGGGCGTTTCTGAGGCACTGTATGGCCAGGCACCAGGTGAAGGCATACAGGTGTTCAGAGAGTTTGACCCTGATCACAGACAGACACACAGTTACATTTTCAAGTACGCATAGCAGATCAAATTCATAAGGCCTCTAAATAAAAAAAACTTTGCTGAAATAAAACTGAACACAATCTACTGCATGCCTTCTGCTGCCTGATTGATAGATTAAACTTTTTTTTTTTTTCAAGTAAACTATACAAACGTCCAGCTTCAGCTTCACGTGTCTTTCTCGTGTCAAATCTTGACTGATTTTTATCAAGTAAACTTCAGAATAACTGCAGTCATATTTCCAGATGAACTCTTACTAGACTGAAGCAGCTCAGCTTTACTTGATTCTCCATCAATCATTTATTAGAGTCTCAAATCTGATCCTCAGGATCTTTTGAGGAGCGTTTGTTTCCAGAAGCTTCACTTTCACTGTTCCTCAGCGGAGCCTCCAGAACATCTCACATCTTCTGAGGAGCCTTTATTTCTTCATCTCTCGATCACTGCATTATATGTTCTGATCATTTCAATCTAATTTTACTGAGAATGGAGATATAGAGTGACGACTGATATTTATAGCATTTTATGTCAGTATCTGCTCTATACTGTTAGAAAGATCTCACTGATTTACATTACAAGCATTTTCATCTTTTTGATCATATAAATATCAGCATCTGCAACAAATTGCATAATTTTGCTCAGTTTGAGTCTCTGAATAAAATTGAGCTGTTTTTTTTTCTCCATATTCTCGCTTTATCAGACTATATGAGCCATAAAAGCCTGATGTTTTAAAAGAGTCTTGTAAGTGCTTTTCCAGACCCTACTTTTTACTAACTGTTTTGTTTGATAATTGTTCTGTCCTTGTTTTTGTGTGTGAAATGAGGGAACGAATCATTATTTTGCACAATGACCTAAACTCCTGACTCGTTACGTCAGACAGAAGCGGTGCGATACACCTCGTGTGGTAAACACGGTCGCTCTGTCTGAAGATGAGACGAGGTTAACGTGAACTGCCTCAGTACCTGTGCTGTCTTGCAGCAGATGATGCTCGGTGTCACCGAGCACGGAGGATCCCAGCATTCCCGCAGGGCTCATGTAGGGGTCAGGCTCGGGCTCGGGGCTCTGGACGCCCTTCCACGGGACGCCCGGCTGAAACTCTAAGAGTGAGATGAAACATTACAGCAATAAATGCATGAGAAAGTCAAACACTTGCATACTGTGAGGCTCCTGATGTTGGGTGACTTTAATATAATATCTGACATAAAATACTGAGCTGGACTGAATGTGATGGGAAAGTAAAATGACTCTTATGGGCTAAAGCAATAAGCCCCGTGAAGCCGTGGTTTACAGTGAATTTATAACAGCTAAGGGGTGTTGTTAGGCACGACGTGAAGCGGAGTGTGTAAAACACCCTTAGCTGTTATAAATTCACTGTAAACCACGGCTTCACGGGGCTTATTGCTTTTATAAAACGGTTATTCCATATACGTAGTTAGGTTTCACAAAATGAAACAGAGCAAATAAAGTGTAATGATATTAATAAAAACAGTATTCTTCCACCAAACAGTGTAGTTCCTCAGAAAGGTTATGGTTCCAACAAAGTGGTTGCCAAGCAACACACAAACGTAAACAAAGGTGTATGTTTGTAGAGTAATTTACAACAGCTTCGAACGTGGCTCAACCAATCAGAATCAAGGACCGGAACTCTGTTTTATAACGGCTGCTTTTAACATGTATCAGGACTCACAAATCAGTCTTCAAGTCCTTTGATTAGCTTATTTGACCAGACTAATCATTCACTGAATCGGACAGAGCAGTTCTTGAACTTTGTCACATACAACTTAAAACGAAACAAGAACTGTTACTGTGAAATGTGATACAACTCCAATATGACAATTCAGACTGAAACTGATTTCCAAAAAAACGTATTTTAAGGCTCTTCTGAATGTGCTTTGCGTAGGGTTTTGTAAGCATCAGATTTCTACGGGTTGCGGTTTAGATTGCCAAAAAAGTACACTGACGTTTAAAGGTTTGGGATGAGTACGAAGAAGAAATATATACTTACTCATAAAGGAGGCATTAAATTGATGCATAAACTCACAGTAAAGACATTTACAATGTTACAAATGTTTCAAATAAATGCTTTTGCACTTCCCAATTCATCAAAGAATCCTTGAAAAAAAAAATTGTGCAACACAACTGTTTTCAACATTGATACTAATCAGAAATGTTTCTTGAGCAGCAAATCAGCATATTAGAATGATTTCTGAAG